TGGACGTTTTTCCTTTTTGGCCGAGAAACAGAGGAAACAAACTCGGGCAAATGAGGTGACCTCGGCAGCAGCGCGGGCACACAGAACAGACCATGGAACAGACCGTTCCCCCGCGCCCACTCCGCCAGGCCTGACTCCCCCGCAGAGCTTTGCGAAACTAACCAACTAACTGGAGAAGTCTTCATTTCTCTGCTTGATTAACTGTCTTCCCGCCCCTCTGGCCGCCCCCACGGCCCCTGCGGCCCCTGCGGAGGGGAGGAGACGACCAGGGTATTAGAGATAAAGGGGAAGAAATGGGGAGGGGCGCGGGCGCGGCACGCCTGCCTCTGTGCGCCAAATTGTTACTCGCAATCGCAGTTTTTTTAAGAAGAAAATTATAAAAACAGTAGAATTGGTGAAAGCTATTAAATCTGAACAAAAAGGTGAAATTAACATTAACTTTCTGCTTACATGCAATTTAAATACACTTAATACAGTTGTACTCTAGAATGGTAAGGACTTTTATGGCCCAGATACGATTTTACCACCATCTTACCCAATAAATCTGCAGCCATGAAAACAAAAACCTGGGGTACTTTACTGGGCGTGTACTATAATCGGCAGGTTACCGCACCCCTAACCTGAGCACGTGGCGGCGCTCCACCCTCTTCCACTTACCTCGCTCTGTCTTATCTCTGTCCATCTCTACGCTATCTCTGTCCATCTGTCAGCCAGGGTCCCTCTCATCATGATGTGCACAGAGGAGCAGAACGGTATGATCTCTCGGGCAAAAGATGGGGGGCGAGACAGCAAACGAGGCCCTGGCCTTCCGTTTCTGACATCCACGTCACATCAAAATTTGATGCAAAATAAAACAAAGAAAATTGAAGAGCAAAAACGGGCGTGCCATCCCCCGACAGAGAACGGCAATTTATTCTAACGCAGCGCTTTGCCCTTTCTTCCAATCTTCATCACGTAGACACGCATATGAGACATTAGAGCCATAAAAACCTAGAATTATGGGGCTATCGGCATCCCAACCGTCTCTGACGGGAAGGTCGCCCCAGTCCTCCAGTCCTCCCCACTACTTTCCCTCCTCTTTCTCGCTCCCGGTACGACGCCAACAACGTCCGCGCGAAGGCCTCGCTATTTCAATAATCAGAGAACAACAAGCTACAAAACGGAGGCACACTGCTTGCAAAAACCTAGAGTAAAATTAGCTGAAAGACGAAACGACAAAATCTTGTCATACCCTTTTTAGCCGCGTAGATGGACGTATTTTTCTTGATGCGCAGAGTGGGCCGGCTTCATTAGCGCAAAACCACCCTCGTGCGCGCAATGCCGATTAGCCATCTACCCTGCGCCTTCAGGCCCGCACACGGCCGCGAGCGCCACCGGTTTACCCCTTCCCTTCCCTTCCCCGCCCACCTGGCCCCGCCCCACCCCGCCCCGCCCGCCAGGACCATCACCTAATGGGGCGGGCGCACAATCAGATAAGGCTAGAGAGGTATACGCACCAGCAGCAGCCGAAACAGCGCAAACGATCACGAGGGACCAGGGACCACCACTGGCAAAAAAACAACACACGAAAAAAAAACAACACACGAAAAAAAAACAAAAAAAAAACGAGGAAATATTTTAAAATAACGCAAAAACATGTAAAAAATTAAAAGCGCCAGCACCCACACAGTAGTCCCCTTCGGTGACTAACAGAGGAAGAAAAGAGAGATAAGCTCGCTTTTAGGGTTAAACGCCCAGCAGGTCGAGTGTTGGGGGGGAAAAGTTGCAAATAAGAAATGGAAAATAAATATTCTTAATTATATTTTGTCCAGACCATATATTTTGTTTTGTGACCATCGCTGGAATGTGCATGTCCTCCACACTTACGCAGCGCCCTCTCTCTCTCTCTCTCTCTCTCTCTCTCTCTCTCTCTCTCTCTCTTTCTCTCTCTCTCTCTCCTTCTCGCGGGCGTGGTGTGGGTGGTGGTGGGCGGTGGGTGGTGGCGAACTCTTGCGTGGACACAATCTATTTCCCGGAGCTGTAACATGAGATGACGTAAATTATTCAGCAAACCATATCGCACGGAGCCAAGGCCGCCCCCCTCCCCTTTCCGTACTCACAGGCGGAAGGCGGCCACACACACACACGCACGCACACACACACGACCCTGTCAGTCTGACACCGCGACTCCTATCTCGAAAGCGAAGGATGAAAACTGAAACAATTGGAGGCCTGTAGAAAGAAAGAAAAACTCGCTCCGTGAGTCCGTCTCTCCGATATTATATCTCCATCTCGATGCAAGCGAGGGCAAACTCGACGGAATCGAAGAGAGCTACAGAAGGACGCTTGCCCGCCTGAACGAAAGAGGGGGGGGGGGCGTGGAGAGCGAACCATTTCGAATGAATCAAAACGGCACGCGCTAATTGGGTTGTTGTTGCAGCCGATAGAGGGATAATCCCCGACAGGTGGAATCACTGCCGCCGTCGCGCCGCCCACCTGCGCCAGCGCGCCAGCAGAGCGGCCAGCAGCCATGCAGACCCTCATTATTATCGCACATCGAGCAAAATATAAATGTTAATAACAGGTCATAATAATAATAATAACCATATCACCGTAATTAGCTGTTCAAACTATAACGAAAGGTATACACTGTACTATAGAATGCGCCAGGGCTTAGTATCGGGTACAAAAATTTTGTGAAACAGATTACTGCCAATCTAATATACAGAACTAGCATAGCAATGCTAAGAAAACTAAATTTGATTGAAAATAAACATAAAAATCGGTGACCAATAAAATGGGCAATGACAAAATATGTAAACGAACTATGACAAAAATGGTTTTGTCAGCTAACTGTCATAAAAGACATAACTAGTATATACAAGAAGAAGAACCATTTCGTTCTTTTTATTGCAACTTTTGGTCCATTTCCTGACAAAGTCCCGGCGCCTCTGTCCACCATACCAAGGCCAGGGTGCTCCCAAGTCCAAGACTCTCCCTCGGCTGCTGCACCCCACCGGGCCAACATGATGGCGGCCTTATCGGCCACCGCCCGGCAGCAGCGGCCAGGAGAGGCGGGGGCGGCGGGGGCGGCGGGGGCGTGGCCCCGAACCTGATAAGACCAGGCGCCCCTCTTGGGGCCCCCGGCACTGGGGTCCTTACCCCAACCGGGGGGACCAGGGGGGGGGGGGCAACCCTCTGTCCGGACGAGGGGCGCACCCTTTCTCTCTATCCCTCTCCCCCTTCCCCTTACACTGCTATATGTGCCTTGCCTCGGACACTCCCTCCCCCCCCCCCAAACGCTAGTATGACAAATGCGCAACTCGGTCCGTCTCTGCGCTGCACGAAGGGCGCCAGGGAAGCCCCACGATGGCTCGCCACGCGCGCGGCGTTGTGTTGCTCAGGGGAGACAGACGGACAGCTGCCGCGCTGGTATGTGCGACTGGCACCGCGCCAGGTCACGCTGAGGTTTCTAGCGCTCTAGTATACCTTAGTCTCCATACGAGCAGGAGGGCTGCTTGGCAGGAAAAATCGAAAGGAGCGCAAGACGGACACAAGCAGAAAGTGCACATAGGGAGAGCGATAGAGAAAGAGTGTGCGTGAGAGGGACAGAGTGACACGGCGAGAAAGACGCCGCGCAATCGAGTGGCACTGTAAAGAGAGGCAGGCAGGCAGACAAGTAGATAGGGACGCCACGCTTTTCGGATCCGATTCGAGAGAAAGATGAACCCGGAGAGTGCTGGACCAGGAGGCTGGCGGGGTCGATGGGCAAAAACCACTCAATTATTTCCCCGTCTGGTCGCCGCGCCCCGCCCCGCCCCTCCCCGCCGCGTGGCGCTCCGGCGGTGCGGCGCGTGCGCGCGGGGGCGTGCCGCCTGTCCACTTGGCGATAACGGTGCCACGCAGTGCCGCCACCACACGCAAAATGAGCTATAAAGGGGCAATTAGGGAAGGGGGCCTCCGTGGGGAGGAGAGGGAGGAGGGTGCACGGGGGTAGCGCGGGGCTGGTCGGTAACCTGAAGCCTTCCGCACACACGATACCCGGCGCGTGCACCGCGCTGGCGCTGCGTGCCTCGCGACCCTCCCCTTCCGCTCCCCCACCCGCCGTGAGAATCACGCAGGGCATTCCCCCGCACGGCACCGCAGGTCCAGCGTGTGTCCTCCGTACACTCTGCAAGTAAAAAATTAATGACATCGTGCGTATTTCTTTTGTTTTCGGACTTGGTGATTTCCTTACGGGGTGTAAGGTCATGAGCCCAACCTGCGTCTGAGCCCATGCTCCCTTTAGCCCAACCAATGCCCGCTATGGGCACGCCAAGAAGTATGGACCCCAAAACGCGTTCAACCCTTCAAATATCGGGCTCGTATCAGGTGCCAGTTGGGGCTCAAGTGATCCGGGCTCATGTCGTTATACCCCTTTTACGCTACTCCCAAACATACCATGTTTTCAAAATGTTGAGCTTCATATTTTGTTTCATTGTTTTCTCCATTTCATTTTCTGTGTTGCGCACCCCGTGCAGCACTCTATGCGCCTCGCTCGGGGCGTCGCGTGCACCGCGTAAGGTTTCTCCGAGGAGCGCGTCCGAGGCGCGGGGAGGCCCAGGGCGGCCGGGAGGAGCTCCTCCACACGGAAGCGGCGCGGCGGGCCCCCTCCACCCCCACCCCCTGTAAGCTCACGGGGTTGTCGAGCCCCCGTCTGCTTCCGGGCGGAAGCGTTTGGATACATTCCCGATTGGTTTCGTTCCTCTCCGAACGGAAACACGGATCCGTAATCAACACCCACCCACCCGAGCAAGCAACGCCGATGCAGAGTTGTGTTATTGGTGACGTATTGACATTCTGCGACGACGGGCCTCTAAAGAGGTGGGCGCCTCAATGAAAGAGGGCCTTTACATCGTTACTCGATATGCAACAGTTCAACCTTTTGTCTCGGGACCATTTCGCTCGCTCTTTCTGATCGGAACTGGAACTATTTCCCCAAAGTGGTCTTGGTTAGAGGGAAATAACGGAGAGCAGCAAAGTTCAACTTCATATTACACACTTTATTTGTTGGTATAGTAAATTCTCTGCAACTGATGTGAAGTAGGCTATGGTACAAAAGTCGTTAGTAACCATAGATGGTTGGAAATGTCCAAAAATAAATACAGAATTAACAGCTTATTGTCCAAAACGTTAAAAGTTTATAAAATTTACAATGTCATTTAAGGCCATTTAGCATCAATCATGTTTGGCACAGCAAAAATAAAAAGCAAACGTTGCATCACATCAATCAATTTTGGGTGGATTGCATCCAATCAGCCAAATTCTTCGTATATTATTAAATTGTAAAGACCAGAAAGATTAAATTTAACATTTTGTGATTGGCAACCAAGCATTTTTTCCCAATTGAACAAAGGGTGTTATCTAAGCAGAATTTAAAAGATTTTAACAATGGTTAGGTCAACTCAGACACTATGCAATGTCAGGAGACACCCTTGCATATGGCTGTAAAAGTAAAACGAAAAAGCTTTCATTAGGCTTGCCAATCACCCTTGAACAGTCACGTGATTTGCAAAGAAAGAAAAACAAGGCCGATAGGGATATGCAATACATTTAGGCCACTATATAAAAGAGAACAGGAAAAGCCTTCCCTTTAATAAAATCAAAGGCACAGACCCGCGACTCTGCACCAAAGCCTCCGTCGTGCAGTTTGTATTTACTCTTTTTAATCAAAGACTGAATCTATTAAGGGCTATGTATAATTCTGTAATACATATGTACACAAATAATGAACACTTATTGCAGCCATTCATTTTGTAAAACTATCAGATACACAGTGAAAATTCATTTGAAAAGAAAACAAAATTATATTTTAACTTAATTTGACATAAGATCTGCCGTTTCGGCCAATTTAATCTTTAATAAAATCACACAACACGATTTCAAAATAATCTGCATAACATTGAGTTTATTGCGTCTAGCCCATCGCAACCAATTCCGTTGATATGTTGGTGCTCAATAGAAAACCTATTACTGAAATCACAAAGCTTCGGGACTTAGTTGAGAAATGACTATTTTCTTTCTCGCAATAGAAGCATAACACGTCCTTAAATCATAGCGGGGTACATGATTTTGTGCAAAGAGGTTCCACACGAACTGACCATGTCAGATCTGTGTGAAAAACCAACGGCAATGATATGTCATAATATTGCCCAAATGTCCTAAAAAAAGCAAATATTGCCGTATACAAATCATGATTTACAAAATTAAAATAATAACTTAAACAGAATTAAAACATCGTCACGCTTAATGGGGCAGTGCTGGCAAAATGATAGGGTCACGGTCACATCGTCGTGATATCACAGAATTCGTTTCATTCAAAACTCGTCGAGTCCACTCTCACACTAGCCGACACGCAAGCTCGGGCTAAAAGAACCGCAAGCCGAGCGTGCGCATGTGGCACTACACCATCTGGTACTTGGTGTCCGTGTACTCCAGGCTGCAGTCGGCCGGCAGCCGAGGCGCGGTCGGCGACGACCCGTGGTAGCCCTGGTTCATGGCGTGGTGGCCCATCTCGGAGTAGCCCATCTGGTGGTAGCCCGGGTGGTGCATGTGGTGGCTGCCGCTCATCTGGTGGTGCTGGCTGTACTGGGAATTGCTGCCAAAGTAGTCCATGTTACCATAGTAAGGGCCGTAGTTTTGGTGGCTGCCGTAGCCGCCGGAGGAGGCCGCCGACGAACCCCAGCAGAAGGCATTGTAGCTAAAGTCCTGCTGCTGTTGCTGCTGGTGGTGCTGGGGCTGCTGCTGCTGGTACGAGCCCGGGGTGAGGGGCGGGCTGGGGGTGGTCATGGCCGAGCTGGCCGAGTTGGAGCCGCCGAGGGGCGTGGAGGGCCCCAGGGGCGCCCGGTGCGGCAGGATGTACTGGCTGGTGGGGGACAGCTCCTTCTTGATGCTCACCGCGTCGCCCAGGCCCGCGGTCAGCCCCGGCGGAGGTGAGGTCTTGATGAGCTGCGACTGCAGCTTGAGCTTGACGGCGGGCGAGCAGCTCAGAGGGTTGTTGTTGTTGGCCGCCGTGGTGTTGTTGTTGTTGTTGTGGCTGCTGGTCGTGCTCACGGTGTTGCTGGTGCCCGTGCTCCCACTGGTGCTGTTGCTGCCCGCGTTGCTGGTGGTGTTGCTGCTCGTGCTGCTGACGCGCGCGCTGGCCGAGGTCTTGCTGTTGCTACTGCTGCTGTTGCCGTTCGTGCTCGACACGCTATTGAGCGATTGCTGCTGCTGTTGCTGCTGCTGCAGTTGCTGTCTGCACTTGGCCCGCCGGTTCTTGAACCACACCTGAAACAATGACAAAGAAAAAACAACGATTAGCCTTCGTATGTTCTCCGAGATTCAGATCCGCCCACTCTGAGCTACCGAAACCATATCGGCCCTCCAGATCACAGAATGTTCAGTCCAGGAAGGGGGCGAGTACACACAGCCCGATAGACTGACAAAGACAGACTTATTACGCTCGTGATCCACATGTAAGACACCAAGGTCTTTCTACTCGGGCACGCACGACTCCGCATTCGATACGCCCGCGCACTCACTCACAACACTCTCACATACGCACACGCGCTCTCTCGCATACACACACACCTATAGAGTTGGAAATTACCTTAAAAAAAATCCCGAAATTTCTTAAAAACAGCGGAAAACTTCCAAAGCCTGGGAAATTTTGAATTTTCTACACAAATTTTACATTTTTCTCGGAAATTATCCTGAAATTTTCCGGAAACTTCCCAGGGCTTCAACCCTACACACCCAATTGTATGGTTAGATATTTCAGGAAACCGCAAAGATACATTGATCTACGCGTCACATCCCCAGAGACGGACAAGCGGGGCCTTGCTTCGCGCAACACCGCACGGGGCACAGCGCAGCGGGGCAAGTGTATAATTGAGATACACTTGGATACTCGTTCCGAGCACAGCGGGGCACCCAAAGTGTCGAAAAAAAAAAACCAGTGAAGTTGCTGCTGCTGATGCCGCCCCCGACCAGCTCGTCCCGCCCTGTCCGTCACGACGGACCGGCCTAACCGCGCGTACCCACCAAAAAGAAAACCACAAAACATACATTTCGGACGAGAAAATCTAACTTTTCAAAAAACAGTTGAGGGCAAAGTTTTCCTGCGGCCCCGCGGGTATCGCCATTAGTCACCCCAAGCCCTCAGCCGCCGCCGCCGAGAGCCGCCGCTCAAGACCAGTGGCGCGTTATTAACTACCCACAAGGAAGGGGGTGTCGGCGGCGCACGGCGCGCGAGAGGCGACAAGAAGACGCCGCGGGGGAAGTCCGGGGAGGAGGCGCAAGACGCACAACGAATCGGCCCTTTCAGAACAGAGCGCGCATTAGGGAATGCAAAACATGTCTGGCGGGGCCGGGGCCGCGGCCGGGGCCGGCTCGGGCCGAGGCGGCGGCGGGGCGATATAGTACCCGCTTATATCACGGTATTAGCGACCGGTAGCAGCGCGCGCGTACCGGTATTACAACATTTAGCAAATTTAACATTACATTCCGCATTTTATTCTCGGCATCTTTGTCCCGTCTGCCCCCCTCCCACCCCCCCCCCCCCACCCCGGGCGTAAACAAGCTCCTCCGTGCGCACTCTGGCAAAAAAAAAAAAAGGTAAGAGGCATATGCCGTGCGCAGAAGAGAAGAAACAAAATATAAAGAGTTTGACCAGAGGCAGTAAGCGTGCAGAACGGCCGCCTCTGCACCGCGCGCCAGTGCATCGCACGTTTTTGAAAAGGCGCAGGTATACCAACTTACACTTTGAATTGTGTTTGGAGCCCAAAACTTTGGCAGGGGCCCTCCGCTTGGCCGTGCTGCTCCTGCTGCTGCTGTCGCTGTCTCTCACCTGTTCGGGAGAGATCACCAGCAGCCGAGCCGCGGCCGAGCGGCAGCCACAGGCATTCAAATGAGGCCCCCAAGTGAGCCCCAAACGAACCGAGTGAGCAATTTCAGACGGAATGATAATTTCCTTCAGATGAGAAATAAATAGTAGAAACGCCCCGCGCGCGAGACGAAGAGGAGGAAGAAGTAAAGAGAAAAAAATAAATAAGGAAAAAGAAGCTGGCCAGTCGTCAAAAATTATCACGAGCTAGCAGGGCTGTGGGGCACTACGACCAGTCTACGGCCACTACAGCCACTGCGCGCACCGCGCGGCCGAGCGTCACGATCTACGATAAAGGTGACACGGCGGCTCATTAGCCGCAGACAAAGAGTGAAGGGAAACTTCAACGCAGCTCCAAAGGCGTTTCACCACCCTCTGGACAACGACTACTCTTCATTTTTCCATGAATTTCCAAACTTGAAATCACTTTCATGTCACCATACAGAATGTAGTAGTAGCACAAGACCACCTATGTACTCGTTTTTTGGTGAGTGTTTTTTTCCTTTTCTCGTTTTCCCGGTCCAACATTTTTCGAGCAGGGTAGGCATCATCGCTGACAGATTGCAGGCCGCGACGGCACGGGGTGCTAATCTCTCTATTATCCCCATATCGCCTCCCTACATATTATACACTGCTGCAAAACCGACACAGCGCGAGGAGCCGGACAGGCAGCGGGGGGCGGGACGAAAAAAGATACAATGGCAGAGGGGAGCGACAGACGGGCGACAACTAAACACACACAAGAGAGACAGAGTGCGAGAGATATTTGCGATACCCTGCAAATCTCAGTTGGCAGAGTCGACGGTTTGGTAGAATAAAATCTGTCTCTTTTTTGAGAAAATACCGTGCCCTAATCCTCTGCGAAACCAAAGAAAAGTTCTAGTTAAAACTATAACTATGTCGTGGGCTGTGTTTACAGATGACAAATGAGCAGACTACACTAGAAACTCACTGGACACTTCAATCTTTAGTGCCTTCACGGTCCTTCCTTTGTTTTCCAGTGCACTCTACATCATAAGGTACGAAGAATATTTTTCGTTCATAATACGACAAAGATCTTGGACCACAACGTAAATGAATTTACTTCGATCAGTAAATAATTCCACTGTTTCTAGCAGTCCACTTGAAACGCAATCTTCCAGATGCGTGCTAAATACAAACAAGTCCACCGCTGAGTGTGCAGTGTATGTGCAACGTGCAGAAAAGTAAAGAGGCACTAGTATAGAAATTCCAGGAAAAAAGGCCACGTAATGACCCCCGTGTACCTCTATCTCCTATTTATCAGTTTCAGTTATCAGGTCGCCTTTGAGCTCGCCGACTGTGCGGGCGGCACCAAAGAACTTGTGCCCCACGGCACGGCGGCGGGTCACCAGCTCGGCCTGCTCTAACGGCTGCGCAACGCGTGCAAAGGCGCGGTGGGGGATGCGCGGCGGGTAGAGAGAGGGGTGAACTAGACGGGGTGCATTTTCAATTTGAGACATAATTCAAAACAGCTTGCAATGGTCGCCCAGCCCGTCGGGGACGACATGTGACAACGAGCCAGATCAAGCCCTCTCAGGGATGACACCCTCCACTCCCCCCGCGCTCCCCTTCCCTTCCCGTTTCCCCCCTCCCCGTCGTGGCCCTACCCCTCCATCTCCTTTCAGGGCATCACTAGCAGAGGAAATCCCTCAAACTTGTTACTCAGCATTACGACGCAACGACGCGCCAAAAAAAGAATACCCCCAAATTTTTGAAAGAATTTAACTGGATATATCGATAGCCGTTATCGCGTCCTATCGGCGGCTCCATCGGATATCCGTGACGGTTGGCACGCCGCCGCACCGCGCATCTGATCCAATTCATCAGCGGGCTGTGCTGGCTGCGCCGAGGGGGGGGAGAGGTTCCAGCCGAGGCTCCAGCGGGCGAGGGGGATGCAGGAGGCTGGTCAATCAAATGACCATTGGGACCGCGAGCCAGCGCGCCCACTGACCCGTATGATTGAACAGAGTATGTACCGTCTCTTACACC